CGTAGACGGTTGAAATTTTGAGGTAGTGAAATCAATTTTAGAGAGAATCTTAACCATGATGACATCTCACCACAAAAATTATGTAATAACGATAGTAATGATTATAAGGACGATAAAAAGACGAAAATTTAGCGTGAAAATGTGAAAGATATAATAATAACAATATATGATAATAATAATAAAATAATAATAATAATAATAACAATAGCGAAGACGATAAAAATAATGTAAAGACAACTTTAAAGATAACAATATTTTTAACCATCACTCCATTGACAAAAAGACAATGAAAATAACGAAAACAGTGATGGTAATGATGACAATAAATTCTGGTAGATGTTTCCTGGAGTCAACGCGAAGCAGGGCATACTTATTTTTCTCGGATCTATTTTCTCACCTACTGAACAATCAGGTGACTGGCGGGTCTCTTCACAGGTGCATTGGTTGGGTCCAGTGCAGGTGCCATGATTTGAACAGTTGTTCACTAATTTACAGTTCACTGTGTTAAAACGCAAAATAGATAATTTATCAGTTGTAAAAATTGTAACGATGATAACTAATGCCTTTTTCAGACCTATTTCATTATCTGAGCAACTACGTACCCACCCCTCCCTCAACCCAACATTAACCCTAAGTTGATAGCAGTTGACTGTCATTGGATTATGGGAGTGGTACCCTAAGTGCGCAGTTACTCAGATACTGAAACCGATCCCCTTCTTCTTACCTGGTAAACCCGTTTAACCGTTTCGTCGTGGGGCCACAGAGGAAAAGTAAATTTGAACGTTTCACATTTATCTTACCTCCAGAGCAGTTCAATCCTTGGGAACCGACGTAGCATGAACAAACATTAGGTCCGATACAGTTACCCCGATAAGAACAGTGATCTCGAAGTTCACAGGTTGCTTAAACGAAAACGAAAATACAAAGAAAAGATTTGTTAAAGATGCATCCATAGAAAGGACGAGGAATGATAATTTTGAAACACAGAAACTGGCTGAACAAGTTACAGAAGATGTATGATATGCCAGTTATGATAACTAACATTCAAAGGTTCGAAAAAATCCCTCTTTCCCTCTCTTCTCTCACAAAATAACGGCATGCACCAAGGGGAAGAGTACCTACGCAACAGTGTCCTCGGGCTCGGAAATGGACAGCGTTTTAGTCTTAGCATTTACGTACCGGCTAAAACTACAATTTGACAATCCATTTCATTTGTTCCAGATTGTAGAAGGCGGTTAATCAAAGAATTATTTGACTTTTTTGCATTTATTTTTACTGGGAAAACTAGAGATTAATGAAGCCTTTTCATTGAGAACGATGCATGCTTTACTTTTTAGAGGGCCAATAAGAGTGGGAAACATTCCGGGGTTTAATTAACCTTTATACAACGTTTAATCAAAATTGGTATTTATAAAGTTGTCACTAATTCAGAAAATAAAATGTCAGTTACCTTGTGAGCACCCGACACTTTTGTATCCATCTTCACAGGTACAAACATTAGGGCCAGTACAGTTTCCTCTTCCGGAGCAACTATTTACTTCTTCACAGGAAACTGTTATTACAGTTGAAAAGTGAGAGTATAAAGATAAAAGAGGTAAGACATGATGCAATGAAATGATCTTGCAAAATAAAGGGAGAGAAAGTAACACTGAACAAACTGAAGTAGGAAACAAACCCGTTGAGCAATCAAGAGATCCTTTGAATCCACTATCACAATCACAGGTATTTACTTCTATACAACTTCCATGCTTGGAACAGTTGTTCACTGCCTCACAAGTCACTGAAACAACAAAAACATGTTGGGTCCTTAATTTTTCAAGAGCTAAAAAGTGAGAAAAGTTCTCAGGGCGACTTCAAGCCATGAGGATATCTTTGAGATTTCTACCTGCAAGGAGAAGATTGGAGAACAGGCGAACAAATCAAGTTAGCTACGAGCGAGGCAGATAAACGGTTGGGTGAAAAGAAATCTTAGTGTGAAGGAAATAGAACAGCGCCATGTAGCTCAAGTCAACGAGAGCCAAACCCAAATAAAACGGGTGCAATTGTAGCAAGTGAAGTTTGCAGCAAGGAAACAAGGATTGGAGTAACCACAACCAAACTGTTTCCAGTCTGCGTATAATTATTTTGCTTTGACTCTGCTTATAGTTGTTTCCTTTTAAAAAAGCTCAACTCTTGACTTTGCCGCCCACATGAACCAACGAATCCCAGATCGTATGCCCAAATTTTCTTCGTTTACCCCTACCAACTCGATTTTCTGAATTCCTGTCCTTCATCCAATAACTCAAAAGAGGGACTCTAGTCAGGGCCCAATCCCCGAATAATAATCACCGTGAACAAGACTACCCTTTGACGGTTTTGTAACCAAATCTCGGTGTCACAAGACTTACCACAGAATGTAACATTAACATCAGCAGTTTGGTTTGCTTGGTCTCCATTGAATCTTTCCTCTGCCGTGGCAATTACTCTTAGCACGAATGGTTTTAAAGTCTCGTTTATTGAAATAAACAAACGGGACGCGTTTGGAGGGGCTCTTGTATTACTTCTGTTCACCAAGCTCGTGCCATTCACGTGAACCAATCGATAGCCCGTCGGTAAACCCGAAAAGACGATTGCTAGATTTTCTGATCCATCTTGGTCATTCAGATGGGCTTCTAGGAACACTGGAATAAGCTTTTCACTGCTGTTCCAATGGTGACACGGCACACTGACATTAAGAAATGGAACATCTGCAACGGCTGTGATGTTTATTTTAATATGTCTAGAGACCGCTTTAGTTTCTATTGGGGTGGAGACTATTGCCGTAATGTTAAACCTCGCGAGTCCTGAGAAATCTTTCTGGGGTATCATCCATATATCGCCAAAATCTGCAGGCTCTAACACAATACGATCGCCGCTCCTGTTTCCTTTACTAAAAGCCATTCCGTCGGAAATTTCATGGATTATGAGTTTCAGGGTGAAATTTTTAGTGTAGCTGCTAATGCCAAAATCCGGAACAAAAGCGGAGAGATATAACTGGGCGGGCACGTCCTCAATTGTGTCACTGTACATAGCATTGATTATCGGGGGCTCAAATCGTAGAGGAAAATCTGCAAATGAATTAATAACATGATTAAAATCGTTGTATGAACTAAGTGGCATTATAAGATAATGGATTTAGTCTATTAAGCTCTCATAATTATTACTATTGTAATCATTATAATTATCATCATTCAAAAATAAATGTTAACCAGTGAATGAAAGCATCAATAACTTCATTCATATCATATTCAACAAACTATCTCGTTCCAACGCTTTCTCCTCGAAAATACTCACCACGCGAGCAGTTAAGGCCATAAGATCCACTTTCACAAACACAGAAATTCAAAACAGTACAGTTTCCGCGGCCGGAGCAGTTGTTTAGCCGTTCACACGACGCTGCGGTGAAAACGAAAAAAAAAAGAAAATAAACGGAAAATAAAACAAAAATTAATGAATATAATATAATTTAATGCTCGTGAATTATCAGGTTGATATGATTGTCGTTGTGAAGAGTAGCAGTAATAGTAGATCGACTTGATGTTTTCTCTTGAGTAAACACGCAGATAGCCACAAGTCTAAACTGAAGTTAACGATAGATGTCAAAGGATAACATTTGATTTGTTGATTGGGATTTAATACATAAAGTGCAAAATGTTGCGAAAAAATTTTGAAAAAAAAGTTAACGGAACAATGTACGATAGACAAAAAACCAGCGAGGTGGTAAACAAGCGCAAAAAGTGTCACATGTAAGTATTTGATTGTTTACTGTGTTCAACAAATATGTTAAGTTACATGACTCTTTACAAGGCTTGCAAGGTTTTATGGCTCAAAACTGAAGATGTTAAATGTGCGTCATTTTGTTGATTATAATGAACAATGTTTGACTGCATGGGACGCACGTGTCG